TAAATAAATACTAAACTAAACTACAACCACTACTACTACTTGTACTACTATTCCTACTCCGTGTTTGTTCACTTATCATGGAAGAACTGCACCCTGAAGCCCCACGATAAGTGAAAAACCGCAAAGTAGGAATAGTAGTACAAGTAGTAGTGGTTGTAGTTTAGTTTAGTATTTATTCACATATATATGTATATATACATATATATGTAATATGAAGGTGTTTTCAACTCTTCCTACACTCATGTAATATTCTAAACAATGTTTCTAAACTCTAAACACTCTAAAAGAGTGCAGAATGTCATGATTTCAGCTCCCTGCCTCCTCTGCTCTTTGCCATCTGCAAGTGCTCTTGGCCACGCCCACTTCTCTGCTCTGCACGGTGAACAGCTGATCAGCTGCAGCAGGAAGCTTTTCCTGCAGCTCTGGGCTGCACAAATGTGCACCAGGTGCTAAATAATTTATTTTAAATAAAAATTCCATGCCGGTCGTGCGGCTCCTCCGTCAACCAGCCAATTGTGTGTCATGTCCAGTCTTATTTTGAAAAACCTCGATAGAGCGAGTCTGCGATAAACAAACCACAAAGTAGCAATGGATTACTGTGTGTATGTGTGTGTGTGTATATATATATATATATATATATATATATATATATATATATATATATTTAAATATATATATATATATATATATATATATCCAATATATATAATATTTACTTATAAACTTGTGCGTTTCGTCAAAATGTAACAAGATAACCATCTAAAAACAATCTGTCTGCTCACCTTTATAGTAAAGGTGTGTCTCAGTCTAAATTTTTTTTTAAATAAATGGACTTTAACAGTCAAATCAGTTGCATTTCACATTTCATAAAAAATATGTATATATTTAATTGTACATCACAAGTTTTATTATACAGTTCTAATCTGAGGCTTTATCTAGGGAGGGCAGCAGACTTGGACATGTTATAAATCTGTTTGGGAATGAAAAATGTAATGTTTTTGATACAGTGTGTGATTATCGATCAGTTACGATATTGAATGAAAGTTTAGCCTGATTAAGATTATGCCTGTTGTGGTAAGATCTAAGCATGAGAGCAAACACAAAATGTGGTTTCACTCTTGTTACAGGTCTGGGTTTCCTGGTGCACAGCCTGTGTCCATGGACAGACAAAACCTTCGATTACTCGAGCAGAATCCTTATAAAGTCAGCTGGAAAGCTGATGGGACACGGTGAGTCGATTGGAATGTCTTAATAACAGATTACTCATGTCAATACAATATTTGAGTCTTTGATTAGACAAATTTATTTCTCTTTCTGTTGATTCCACTCATTACTGTCAATATTTACACGGTAAGTTTTTGTCCTCAGGAGCTGTAACAGTTTTTTTAAATTAATCTTCCTTAGCGCAGGTTTGAATTTGGATTTATTCACATATGCTCCCCAAAAAACAACAAGTTGGCTCAGGATTGTGTAAATAGTAAGGTCTAGACTTTTCAGAATGATGAAAATCCCTTTATTCTGCTCTTTTTTTAAAAAAAATTTAGCACTTTGCAGTCATAAGGAGAGGCAGAAATAGATTCAAGAAGGGCAGCAAACAGGAAATTCTGTGCAGGTTGATGGAGCTGGTAAATTCAGGCTGGAAACCTCTTTGGAGCCAGGTATACCTGCAGAACGTTTCACTAATTGAGAGAACAGAGAGGAAGTAAATTCAATAGCTGCAAAACAAATGGGCTCCAGGGTCACCTGAGCCAGCTCTAATTATGTTTCATTATGTAAAGTTTTACTCCTAATTCTAACAGTTCTGCCACAAAAAAAACCCTTAAACATCAACTTGGGGTTTGATTTTACAAAACATGAACCTGATGGGTAAAACTTCTGTTATTATGCAGAGTTCAAAAGCTAAACCCAAAGGTAAGCCCGCACTCATGGGAGCTGAGTGCTCTTTTTCAATGATACAATCCAAGCAGGTCTTTAAGACATGATTGAGCCAGGTGATTAAAAGCTTTGTACATGAGGAGAGGTCTGAAAGGTATTCTAACATGACCTGCGTTTCCTGATTAAGTTTTAATTACAGCATGTGGCTAATCAAGCAGAGTGCTCGTTGTATAGCAGCGTGGACTTGTAAATTAGCTTCACTGATGCATGAACACCGACTGTGACCAGTCTCTACAAAGAATAACAAATGCAAGAGGGCACTTGTTCTTTCCTGACACGTTCTGTTGTGAGTTTGTTTTTCTTTTTTTCTTTTGTTTTATCTCTCTCTGGTGCTTGAAGCTAATGCAGCAAGGGGAAAGAGGTTTTAGTATTCTGGTAGTCTGTTGTGAAGCACTGTCTCTCTCTGGCTGCTGCAAATGTGCATGTGCTGATGAATATTTAATGACTGCAGTCAATTTCAGATTTTTACATATCAGTGCTTTAATTTCCGGTAAGCAGGAGACTGAGAGAGAACTGATCTGGCTCCTGACCAAGACGCCGCTAATGTGTGTAATTAGCTGCTGTTATCAGCAAATGCTCGAATATGTTGCTAAAAGTTTTGGCCTTAAGTTTGAATAGTGATTCTGCGCGCTTCCTCTGTCGCCTGCTTTTTTTTGACATGCAACCTGTTTCTTCCCTCCAGATATAGTGTGCATGTGATTTATTCTAACTTGAAATACTGATGTAAAACAAGGCACCGCAAACTGAGTGACTCATCAGCAAGGCTCAGGATATGCAATATATTGTACAAGTTTGCCCAAAACATCAGATTTTGAAGTTAAAACTTTGAGTTTCATAAAGTGTGTTTCAATATATACTGTAGTTGAGATCTTTCCTAGCGGAGTTCTGTGGAAAGGTTTTAAACAATCAATGTCTTACATGTTGTAGATAACATTTTGAATGACCTAAGTTTCAAGAATTAAAGTTAAATTACAGGGATGTGCATTTTAGCTAACATTCTTTAAATCTGTCCGTAATTATTTATATATTTTTTTTTAATAATAGCGTCCCCCCGCCTCTCCTCATTTCTTCTTTGGGTGGGTGAGTGGTAGGTGTTCACACGGACTGGAAAACACCACTTGGAAACAACTTGCCTCTCATAACCAGGCTCTGGTGTTTATAAATGAAAATTATTGCCAGTCCATATTGAATAGAAATAAACGTAAGACCGTTGAATTATTATTTCTATTATATTTGAAGAGTGTCCCTAAAATGATCTTCCCTAGGCCAGATAGACAAGCTAATGGCTAGTTTTAGCGAAGTGGATTACTGCTGTCTTATAACTTCACCAATCTAAACCATTTATTTTTATAGCATACTTGCCAGCTCATTTACATTTTTTACACCATCTTAAGTTTCACATTACTCAATTATTTGGATGTGCAAATAACATTAACAGGTGCTAGCTAGCTGTAGCACTTCTGGTGCAGCTGTGGGCACTTTCAGCCATATATAATATTTCTGCCAGAGTATCAGCGCAATACTAAATTGATGGCAGTGTTTTTTGCCCCGCTCCCCTCGGGCAGAGGGTTGAGGAGCATTGAGTGGGGAGCCACTGGACTGAGGAACAGCTTCTACCCTGATGCTGCTGATCTCACGCTGCTGATTTAATTCATGCTGCTGTGTTCATTCATACTCATCTGCTCACACGGACTCATGTTTGCGCTGCTGTTTTTCAGTGTATTACTGTTTTTGCACTACTAAGTGTTTAGTGTATTCTTAGTTCAGCATAATTCTTAGTTCATATCTTAGATCGTATTACTGTTTTTCTTTTACAATTTATGCTTTCGTTGGATGTAACTGGGACCCTGTGTACACAATTTCATTCCACCACATGTATCACACGCGATGCAAATGACAATAAAGAACCCTGACCTTGTATTTCTGAACTAGCTTTTGCATGAAGTTCTATGTGATTAAGATTGAAGTGGTTTTAGGACAGTGGTTTTGACACAAAGCAGCTGTTAGCGTGACGATTCAGTCAGAATTAAATTTTATTTCTCCAAACTGAGACTGTTTAAATGATTATCTGCAACCGGTAATAAATTAATTATTCATAAACTTTCCCCATAACCCCACTTGAAAACATTTGAACTATCCTTTTAAGTGGGAAAAGTTAGTTAACATCCAAGTTCATAATTTTTTAATACAGATAATTATATTTTAATTACCAATATCAAAACATGGGCAGGTATAGAGAAATAAAATGTACGTTTTAGATTTATTGTCTAAAATGTGAATCAGTGTAAATCTTTTTTTTTTTTTTTCCCCTGGAGCTGCAGAAACACTGCATTTTACAATAAAAAAAGTTTCCTGACTCTTGTTCAAATATCAGCAGGTTTCTGGGGTTAGTTGAACTACAAACACATTCCACATCAGCTTCAGCAGATCAGCTTTGGTTTCTGAGAGGCGGTTTGGTTTGCAAGTCGACAGACTGGGACAGTTCTCGTTGTTTTGTTATGTTTCTGTGGTTACAGCATCCTGTTTGTTATGCAGCTTTTCATCTAATTTGCGTAAACAACATTGCACTTTAACAATAAAACAATAGATGCACGGTGTGCGCATCATTGTGTTATAAATAAATAAATAAAATGTAGCTGTGCCGTGATTTGTAAGAGCTTTTATAAAAGGCTTCTTTTTAAATCTGTGAAGGACGTCTTGTTCAACCGCAGCTGATTCCGTTTTATCATCTTTCAGAGTCGAGCGACAAATGGCATCCATTTAAAATCATGTCACTTCTTTCAAGTTTTTATTCTTCACTTGGCATTTTCATACTTTGTGCAACAATTTTATTTACACAATAATTTACTTTTGCAAGCAGAATTCTCAGAAACTTTATATCTTCTTGATAACTTAGGACCGGGGCGGGGGCGGTGGGGGGGTTAGTCTTTGGAAGAGTTTAAATATCTGGGCATCTCTATAGTAGGATGGAGTGGGAGATGGATCAATGGATCGGGACCTTGTCCTCAGTAATGAGGACGTTGCTTCAGTCAGTCGCGGTGACGAACGAGCTGAGTCGAAAGGCAAAGCTCTTGATTTACTTTTCTGTCTGAGTTCAACCCTCACCTGTAGTCATGAGATTTAGATCATGACCGAAAGAACGAGGTCCTGGACACAAGAGATTAACTTCCTTCGTAGGGTGGCTGGACTCGGCCTTAGAGAGAGGGTGAGGAGCTCCGTCATCCAGAGGGAGCTCGGAATAGAGCCGCTGCTCCTTCTCATTGAAAGGAGTCAGTTGAGGTGGTTTGGACATCTCTGGTATGCCTCCTGAACACCTCCCATTAGAGATTTTATGGCCACGTTCCCCTATTAGAAGGCCCTGGGGAAGACCCAGAACTCTCTAAAGGGATTTTGTATTTTTTCTGTGTACTGAAAAATGTCGCTTTTGCGTTTGGCTTTTGCAACTTGTATACCGGTACTTTTCCACATATTTAACCTTATTTACAAGTACTTTCCCCACATAAATACATTGAAATCTATGAAATTCCTTCAAAAAAAATTTTGTCTGTGAACTCTGCTTCAGCATTGTCCCGATTCATTCTCGGTAATCCAGGTTGATAAATCTAACAAGGTTGAGCCAGGTCCTCTGGACGGGTTCTTCTTTGTTGAAACGTTTTGTCCTTTATCTAAAAGACTACTTCAGTCTGAGGAGCTGCAACAATCTCAGTCTTATAAATAGCACCTTATCATAGTTGATCAACCAGTTTGTTGCTGGCAGCCAAAACTAGTTGTTCACGTGAAAAACAAGGACCTGATAGATGGTGCCCTGATGGCCACTTGCTATTCACAGAAGGCTGATTGATACTTGCAATAACAGCATTGTAAGAGGGGAACAGTTGAACACGAAGGCCTCCGCCCCTGTTTAACGATGGTTCCCTTCACAAAGATGGCTTCCTGCACTCCTCTCTCAAACCAACGTTCCTCTCGATCGAGGATGTGCACATCATCCCTGGTCATCCTCAACATGCATTGTTGCTCCATTTGTCTTCTTATGTTACTATTCTCCTGCTGTTACATTTTAACTAGCCTTTTGCTACTTTTACCTTCTTGCTAGTCTTTTTTGTTACTTTTAGCTAGCCTTTTGGTATATTTAGCTTTTAGCTAGTGTTCTGTTACTTTATGCTTTTTGATAGCAATTTGTTTATTTTAGCTTTAAGCTTGTGTTCTGGTTCCCTTAGCTTTAGAACCTCTTAGTTTATTTATTTTTTGCACATTTTAACTAATTCATTCTTCCTTCACACTGAATTTTCTGTGT